CCCAACGCGGGGCTCGATCCCAGGACCCTGAGATCATGACCTGAGCCGAAGGCAGACGCTTAACGACTGAGCCAACCAGGCACCCCTTATGTACACTTCCTTGGCAGGAGTGACATTTTAAATAAGCAGATCATTTTTCATATTATGTAACATAAGGACAGCCCTTAAGGCATGAAGAAAAAAAAAAAGGTCCCTGGAGCCAGAACAGAATTGTGGGTGGTACTTTTTTTTTTAAAGGTTTTATTTATTAATCTGAGAGAGAGAGAGCACCAGCTGGGGGGAGGAGCAGAGGGAGAGGGAGAAGCAGACTCCCCACTGAGCAGGGAGCCCAAAGTGGGCCTGGGGCTGGATCCCAGGACCCCAAGATCATGACCTGAGCTGAAGGCAGATGCTTAACTGACTGAGCCACCAAGGCGTCCCACAATTGCAGGCTGGTTCTAAAGACTAACAGCCTGAGTGAGGTTTTAGCAGAAATGTTAGCTGGAAGGTACATGAACAGTTATCAACACTTACTAACAACCCACGTGATGTAGATTCCTACACAAAATCCTTTGCAGATTTACAAAAAAGCATACAACTCTCTAATTGTCAATCTTCTCCTGTAATAGGCAAATAGACATAAATCCCCATCAGTATTTTCAGAATTTTAGAATGTTTTTCAAGGCTCTTCCTGAGATCTTTTTCTCCTTTTTTCTTTTTAAATTAACTTGCAAAATGTAGGGTATGGTGTGATAAGAGAAGAGAAGTTACAGAAAACAACAGATTAAGGGTAGAGGGAAACATGATGCCTTTCACCTTGCCTGCTCAAGGATCTGCTCGGCTGCACTGATGGTTTCTTTCCCCTCCTCAGAAGCCTGGACTTTCTGAGGCAGGACCATCTGCCCCAGGCTCCACCTGAAGAGTGTTTCTGCAGAAATCCTCCCCACACCTACCTAGTTTCTAGAACCTCACTACTGAAAGCTCAGTGCCGCAAGAAAACTACACGCATATTTATGAACCTGGGCAGAATGATCAAGAAAAGCGGTTGCATCTCTCTCTGTCAAATAAACAAATAAAATCTTTAAAAAAAAAAAAAAAGAAAAGAAAAGCGGTTGCAAACATCCTTCCCTTCAAAGTAATAGCTTAAGGGTAGTCTTTTGGACTTAATAGGGCTGCTTTTAGAATTTTACTCCTGGATAATTTGACTAGAATGGTCAGGTTGGGTAACTGGGTAGAGGTAGAACCACAGGAGGCTGTGCAGGGCCAATTTTTGAACAAGAAGTCTGCAGGTGTTGCTCTTCATACCACATTCAGAAAAAATGTTTTTGTTTTTTGGTTTTTTTCTGACCTCCTGCAGAGTGATAATACAATGTTTTTTTTATATTTTATTTATTTACTTGACAGAGAGAGAGAGCACAAGCAGGGGGAGTGGCAGGCAAAGGGGGAGGGAGAAGCAGGCCTCCCACAGAGCAGGGAACCCGATGCGGGGCTCGATCCCAGGACCCTGAGATCATGACCTGAGCCGAAGGCAGACGCTTCACCGACTGAGCCACCCAGGCGCCCCGCGAGTAATTTACTTTTGAATTTAGATTCTTCTGCACTGGCGGGGGGGGGGCATACCCACTCCTTTCCACACCTTTCCCACTCTAACTGGATTTCTGGATCTTTCTCCTCATCTCTAACACAGAACCCATCTCCTCCAAACCATACACACTGCTCTCTAGTTTTCATTCCTATATAACTGTCAGAATAAAAACTGCTACACACTTCCAGATGAAAAGATGTCTAAGTCCCCTCAAGGCCGAAACATATTTCCATATCAAATATGGCTCTATCTCCAACCCCAGTTAACTTGTTACATATATAAACAAATAATACATAAAACACTATCTCATCCAGGGCACCTGGGTGGCTCAGTCGGTTGAGCATCCAACTCTTGATTTTGGCTCAGTTTCATGATCTCAGGTCAGGGCCTGGGATCAAGCCCCATGTCAGACTCCACGCTCAGCGGGGAATCTGCTTGGGATTTTCTCTCTCTCCCTCTGCCTCTGCCCCTCCTCTCCATGTGCTTTCTCTCACAAATAAGTCAATAAATCTTTAAAAAAAAAAACCCACTATCTCATCAAAATGCAGTTGCGGGGGCACCTGGATGGCTCAGTCATTAAGCGTCTGCCTTCGGCTCAGGTCATGATCCCGGGGTCCTGGGATCGAGCCCCACATTGGGCTCCTTGCTCCGCAGGAAGCCTGCTTCTCCCTCTCCCACTCCCCCTGCTTGTGTTCCCTCTCGCTGTCTCTCTCTCTGTGTCAAATAAATAAATAAATAAATAATCTTTAAAACAAAATGCAGTTGCGCAGTCTAAATAATTGGTAATTTGGAAGGACTAAACACTTAACATACTGAAAACTTGATGAAGATTCAACAATAACAAAGTAGAATATTAAAAATAGGTTAAGATAGCAGGAGGGGAAGAATGAAGGGGGGAAACTGGAGGGGGAGATGAACCATGAGAGACAATGGACTCTGAAAAACAAACTGAGGGTTCTAGAGGGGAGGGGGTGGGAGGATGGGTTAGCCTGGTGATGGGTATTAAGGAGGGCACGTACTGCATGGAGCACTGGGTGTTATATGCAAATAATGAATCATGGAACACTACATCAAAAAAAAAAATAGGTTAAGAATGGGGCGCCTCAGTGGCTCAGTCGGTTAAGCGGCTGCCTTCGGCTCAGGTCATGATCCCAGGGTCCTGGGATCGAGCCCCACGTCAGGCTCCTTCCTCAGCGGGGAGCCTGCTTCTCCCTCTCCCTCTGCTTGACACTCCACCTGCTTGTGCTCTCCCTCTCTCTATCTCTATCAAATAAATAAATAAAATCTTTAAAAAAAAATAGGTAAGAGTTTCTCCATTCAGAGGCATCTGTAAGCAATTGAAAGAGATACTTAGGAGAAATGGCATAGATGTCTACCAGGAAGGAATATCTTAAAAAAATACTTTTAGGGGGCACCTGGGTGGCTCAGTCGTTAAGCGCCTGCCTTCAGCTCAGGTCATGATCCCAGGGTCCTGGGATCAAGCCCCGCATCGGGCTCCCTGCTCTGAGGGAAGTCTGATTCTTCCTCTCCCACTACCCCTGCTTGCATTCCCTCTCTCACTGTGTCTTTCTCTCTCTGTCAAATAAATAAATAAATAAATAAATAAATCTTTTAAAAAAACACAAAAAACTTTTTAGAAAAATTGCAATTTTGGGTGACTGCTGAAGCAAAGTCATTGTTTTTTCCATCTTTAATAAAGTGACAAGCTGCTGCAAACTTAAGCATAACATAAATTATTAACTCAAGGAGGCGTTAGGGCTTTTGTCTTGTGCCAAATTTCTCTACTCTCCAATCCTCGCCTTTCAACAAAGGAAACATGAAAAGGAACTTCGAAATACATTGCAAATTATGTCAATACCTAACTTTAGTGCCACTGTGTCCTGCTACTTGAATCTAGCATTCTTATTAAATAGTGAAAAAGGCTGGGTCCTTTTTCCCTCCATTTATTAGGGAAATTAAAATTTAAAACACTGTGTGAGGGGCACCTGGGTGGCTCAGTCGGTTAAGTTTCTGCCTTCAGCACAGGTCATGATCTCGGGGTCCTGGGATCGAGCCCCATGTCAGGCTCCTTGCTCAGTGGAGAGCCTGCTTCTCCCTCTCCCTCTGCCCGCTCCCCTCCATGCTCTCTCTCTCGCTCACTCTCTTTCTCTCAAATAAATAAAATCTGAAAAAAAAAAAAAACAAAACAAAAAAACAAAAAACCACTGTGTACCACTAAACCCGACCATCATGGGAGAAATGTAAAATGTGTAAAAAGAAGAAAAGAAAGGACTTAAACTAAGGTTTATCGAACCCTGACACCCACCTTCCACACAGCTGAAATGACATCTATACAAATGACTTAGAAAAGAGGTAAATAACACTGTGAGAGCAGTTTTTGTTTCTGAACTCCTAACTCAAGTTTTTTCAAGTGAGTGGGCGTATTCCAAGAACATGAATGTACCACGGAACTTACTTAGTTCTCTTACGAACGTAAGTCAAACTGTCTTAACATAAGCAGAAAGCAGGAAGACTAAAAGGATTCACCCAAATCCCGATGCATTTCGGTTTCTCTGCCATCAGGTATTATCACTGGAGCACTTACATTAACTAGTGTGCTGTTTATCCCTTTCAGAGAAGAGAAGGGCGAATGTCTCATTTCTGCTTTTGATAGCAAATACAGTTAATTAGGGACTTGGGTTCTTTGGTAGAAGAACAACATACCCATAATTACTTAAACTTGTAGATTTTAAAAAATGTGTCTCTATTGCACATATTTAAGACAGCACTTAAAGTTATCAAATATCCTATTTCTTCTCCCCATCTGTTATTTAATGGGACATGGTGATGAAAACACCAAAAACATAATAAGTGAGGCCATGAGTGGGGTAAACGATGGTCTATATGCCCAGCCATGCGAAGTAATTCAGTTTACGTAGTGTCTAAAAAAAAAATGCTTTAATGAACCCAAGAGATTGAGCCTCAGGTTATTCCTAACCTAGACAATCTCAGAGCCCTTTCAAGGATCCCAATCTATTATTCTCAGACCTATTTGACGTATCTCCTGGCATCCCAAACTGGAATATTGGCCCTCAAATTAGAAAAATCTCTATTTCTAGAGACAGTCAACCACCAGGCTAAAAATCTTCTGAAATGTCAATGTCTACTTCAAAGAGTATGCAGGCATTATTTGTTTCCCTACCTATTGTCTATAGTTGTTTAATGTTAGCAAAGGGCCCAAAATAACCATCAGACTTTAATTTTTTTAAGTCTAACAGGTACCTAGAAATCCACTAGATACCATTTCCAAGATAGTTCAGTCTCAGGATCGGTACAGAATGTCCAGTATGACAATACATCTATAAAACAGAGCTATCCTCTTCACTGCTATTGAAAGTTCTATCTACTATAGATTATAAGACTCTGCATACTATTGTCAATCATAAAACTAAATTACCTTCTCCTTCTTTGATAATATAAATGCACCAACCACTGGGAAATAAAAGGCCATATGATAGCAAAAGTTAATGCACCAGGAGACATCTCGAAGGGCCACCAAGATGGTCTCTGAGAAAATAAAATAAGCTGGTCACCAGTCTATTACACATTGCATGTATAAACATAAAAACATACTATTTCATAATTTTGAAAATATAAAACTTAATAACAAATCTCAGTCCTGCTAAACAGAAGGGAGGTATTCTGTACCTTAGAGCATAATTCTGTAAGTAGACTTCCAGGAGTACTTTAGACTTAAACATATAACAAGTATATTTTAACTTCAAAGCTCTACAGGGTAGATTTCATTTGGAATACTTTAAGAACCTTGTATACCTAAATTATTTTAAGTTATTTGAAACCCTGGGACTTAGACTTAAGAATTTCTTACCTGTGAGGGAGGCTGATTACTGGTCTGTAATGTTGATGATTTTGCCTATAAATACAAATAAAAGTGATTTAGCTTGGACAAAATAAGAAAAAAATAGTAATTTTTCTATTTCCTATCTTTTTTTTTTTAAAGGCTAAAATATTAGTTTATTCTGCTAACCATGCTTCAATTGTCCTAAAACCCATACTGACCAAATAACAAGGTCCCTAAAATTGCTAGCCAAATAAATACCTTTGACATTTTATATTTTATAGTTCAAATTATATAAAATTATCAAAATAAAACCTCAAACTAATCTAAACCATTACTTCTTTTATACTGTTATTAAATTACCTAATCAACTTTTCTTATTCTTTAATTTCCAAAAAAATTACCAATTTACAAACACATCTGACAACTGCAGCCTTGATTATTATTAAAATTATAAATCATATCCAAAGATCTGTTTTGAAAATTTATGAAAAGTTATAGCACAAGAGGTATGATAAATATGAGAAATGAACTGTCAGTGTTGTAGTTTTATTTTTATTTTTATTTTTTTAAAGATTTACCTATTTATTTGAGAGAGCGAGAATGAGAGAGAGAGAGAGAGTACATGAGAGGGGGGCGGGTTAGAGGGAGAAGCAGGCTCCTCGCCGAGCAGGGAGCCCGATGCGGGACTCGATCCAGGGACTCCAGGATCATGACCTGAGCCGAAGGCAGTCGCTCAACCAACTGAGCCACCCAGGCGCCCTGTAGTTTTATTTTTAAATTTTTTTCCAGCTTTATTAAGACATAATTTGAGATATAATTAATATATATATGTGACAATTTGATACATATATATATTGTGAAATGATTACCATAATCAAGCTAATTAACACATTCCTCACCTCACATAGTTACCTTTCCTGAGGGGAGGAATACTGTCAGTTTTTCAATGAGATGTATAAACTAAGCAGAAAAATTTCAAATTAATTTAGGAAATTTATATTCCAACTTGGCTCATCCAGAAAACAAGTTTCCTTATACTAATTGTTGGAAACTTGTTACTCTAGTTTCTCCATTTATTATAACTTCATAGAAATGGTATGAAAATTAATAAGATCATTCATTGATTCATTCATTAATTCAGTAAATATTTACTCAGCACCTATTATGTACCAGTTACTACTCTGGGTGTTAGAGATGCAACAGGGAACAAAATGACAAAAAGTGCTGCCCTAATGGAGCTTATACTGTAATGGAGAGATACAAATAATAATGAATAAATTAGTAAAATATATAGTATATCAGGTAGTGATAAACGCCATAAAGAAAAATAAAACAGGAGGGAGGAAAAAAAGAAAAAGAAAAACAGAGAGAGGAGATGAGACATGTTGGAGGAGGAGAGTCTTGCAATTTTATTTATTTATTTATATATATATATTTTTACAGATTTTATTTATTTATTCATGAGAGACAGAGAGGGAGAGAGAGAGAGAGGCAGAGGGAGAAGCAGGCTCCCAAGGAGCAGGACTCAATCCCAGGACCCTGGGATCATAACCTGAGCTGAAGGCAGATGCTCAACCATCTGAGCCACCCAGGCGCCCAAGTCTTGCAATTTTAAATAGGGTGGTCAGAGAAGGCTTTGCTGACACTGCAGCAAAGACCTAAACAAAGAAAATTATGCTCTGTGGCTAAGGGGGGGGTGGGGTAGGGGGTTGAGGAGAACAATCTTCCGTATAGAAGGAACAGCAAGTGCAAAGACCAAGGGTGGGAGGGAGCCTGCGGGCAAATTCAAGGCACAGCACAGAGGCCTGTGTACTGAACCAACAGCAGGAAGTGGTAAGGAGGAGGCAGGCTTTAAATTTCCTTGTTATAAGTAATATGATCTCAAGGACCCCAGTCCCCAGGATGACTATACCTTACAGGTAAAACTAAATTAGTTGCCTCCAGATGTTACATTAGTCCTCACAGACCATTAAGGTGTTAAAGAAGAGTATAATCAAATTGCAAGTGCTGAAAGAATCTAGACAAGGTAATGATTTTTATGATATTATTTGTAATTGTACCTTGCAGGCACAATGATATATTTTAAAGATTTACTTTTTTATTTGAAAGAGAGAGTGTGCACGCGCAAGCATGCACCAGGGAGGGCCAGAGGCAGAGAGGCGGAGAGAGAGAGAGAGAGAGGGAGAGAGAGAGAGAGAATCTTGAGCAGACTGCTGCTGAGCACAGAGCCCAATGCGGAGCCCAATGTGGGGTTCGATCTCACGACCCTGAGATCATGACCTGAGCCAAAACCAAGAGTCAGACGTTCAACCGACTGAACCACTTAGACGCCCCAAGGCATAATAATATTTAATCAGGAGATTTACCTTAGGGCACTTTCTTCAGAATACAGGATAGATTTACAAAATTGGGCTCCCTGGTATATGCTGACTTAACTAAGGTCACATGAGTCCACGTGATTTTGAACGGAATTCAAGGTGACCAAATCCCAATGTGATGACACTATTCTCATTAAAGCAGCAACTACTAACAAATACTAAGGTAGAGTCAGAACTATTAAATGTTAACTATTAGGGCGCCTGGGTGGCTCAGTTGGTTGGGCGACTGCCTTCGGCTCAGGTCATGATCCTGGAGTCCCTGGATCGAGTCCCGCATCGGGCTCCCTGCTCTGCAGGGAGTCTGCTTCTCCCTCTGACCCTCTCCCTCTCATGCTCTCTGTCTCTCATTCTCTCTCTCTCAAATAAATAAAATCTTAAAAAAAAAAGTTAACTATTAGCGGATTTTTTTTTCTAAGTAATAAAGGGTCTGGAAAGGCAAATGAAGAGTCCCAAGGACCCTTGCTTCCATCTAAGCAGCACGGGCACTAGCTGTATAAGTAGCACTGTGATTTTTTGGTTTAATGATATTTATCCATACGTGTTGTTAAAAAAAAAAATCAGTGACACGTGTGAAAGCACAGTAAGGAAGACTTTCTTCAATGGAGGAGGGGCTATCACTATGGGCATAGGGACTTCTACAGTAGGGGGAGATGGATGGGGCTCAACTCCCATCGCAGCACGGGCGAGGGGGAATTTCGTTATCAAGGAGTAGGGCTGGGATCGGTGGATGGAAAATTCCTAACAGGAAACATCAGGGGTAAGGAAGATTCTGGCTAAACCGACCTAACAGGATTCTTGCTGAAGACGAACCAGGGTGATGTCAGACATCACCTGGGTTTGGTGGAGGATGAGGAGCCTGCCTGGTTAAACGGACGGAGCAGGGTTCTTGATAAAACTGGATTTTACAAGGGAGAAGTGGAGAGATGGGCCTAAGAGAAAGTTCAGGAGTCTGACTAAAGTTTAGTCGAGCAATGAATTTTTGTTGGTATCAGTGGTTTTTACATATTTAGAAGTTCTATTTACCATTCTACAGCTAGATTAAAATAAGGATTACTGAATTTTTTTTTTAAAGATTTTATTTATTTATTTGACGGAGAGAGACACAGCAACTCTGGGATCATGACCTGAGCTGAAGGCAGACGCTTAACGACTGAGCCACTCAGGCACCCTGAATTTTTTTTTTAAGATTTTATTTATTTATTTATTTGACAGAGAGAGACACAGCAAGAGAGGGAACACAAGCAGGGGGAGTGGGAGAGGGAGAAGCAGGCTTCCCGCCGAGCAGGGAGCCCGATGTGGGGCTCGATCCCCCAGGACCCTGGGATCATGACCTGAGCTGAAGGCAGACGCTTAACGACTGAGGCACCCAGGCGCCCCTACTGAATTTTTTGGAAAAGATTTCTGAAAGGCAAAATCCCATACAGTTGCAACCATTGCAAAGAAAATATGAAGACAGAGAATTATTTAAGTGAGGTCCTCTCTAAGGCTGTGAACTTCCTGAGGGAGGAAACCAAGCTGGCTTACTATCATTGCTATTATCGTCACCATCATCATGTCATGTGACAGTATGTAGATGTCACATGAGTGTTCCAGGCACTGTACTATGCATTTTACTTAATTCTCTGAACAATCCTGGGGCGCCTGGGTGGCTCAGCCATTAAGCATCTGCCTTCAGCTCAGGTCATGATCCCGGGGTCCTGGGATTGAGCCCCACATCAGGCTCCCTGCTCAGCGGGAAGCCTGCTTCTCCCTCTCCCACTCCCCCTGCTTGTGTTCCCTCTCTCCCCGTGTCTCTCTCTGTCAAATAAATAAATAAAATCTTTAAAAAAAAAAAATTCTCTGAACAATCCTATGTGATAGGCATTACTAGTATTTCCATTTTATAGATAAGGAAACTGAGGCATAGAGAAGTAAAGTAACCTGACTGAAGACCACACAGTAAGTGGCAGAGATAGGATTTGAATCCAGATAGTTTGTTCCAAGCTCTGCTACACAGCGCTATCTCCCCTTTCCTTTATGCGTCCACTGCCCAGAAATACTTTTCTGGTGTGTGGCCATTCAACAAATATTTATTGAGTGCATGAGCCTCAGGCAGCTTACTGTGATGGAAAGTGCATTGCATGAGAAATCTGGAAAGTTTAGGTATAGAGCAGGCTCTGCCCCAATCTCACCTTCTTCCTCTGCTGAACTAGATAGAGGTACTGAACTAAGTTTCCTTTATTTCTGCAATCTACTACTATTCTATCATCAGTTTATTTCTTTTAGTCATCCAAATGAATTATGCAAATTTTAAGGAAAAAGTCTTTAACATGTCAGAATCTTTTTTGATTTGCTTTATGTAAGCTAAGAATAAAAAACTTTACAAGTTTTAGGGGCGCCTGGCTCAGCCGGTTAAGTGTCTGCCTTCGGCTCAGGTCATGATCCCAGGATCCTGGGATCGAGCCCCGCATCGGGCTCCCTGCTCAGCGGGCAGCCTGCTTCTCCCTCTCCCTCTGCCTGTTTCTCTGCCTACTTGCTCTCTCTCTCTCTGTCAGATAAATAAATAAAATCTTTAAAAAAAAAAAACAAAAACTTTACAAGTTTTTTCTTTACAAGAAAAAAAAATCAAAAGAATTTTTAGCAGAATTTCAATACCATTAAAAACATTAACTATAAACAAAATACTCTTTAAAAAAGTCACAGAATAGGAGCACCTGGGTGGCTCAGTTGGTTAAGTGTCTGCCTTTGGCTCAGGTCATGATCCCGGGGTCGTGGGATTGAGTCCCACATTGCACTCCTTGCTCAGCAGGGAGTCTGCTTCTCCCTCTCCCTCCCCTTCTCTCTCTCGCTCTCAAATAAAAAATCTTAAAAAAAAGATTTTACTTTCAAGTAATCTCTACACCCAACATGGGGCCTGAACCCTCAACCCTCAACCCCAACATCAAGAGACCAACACTCCACTGACTGAGCCAGCTAGGCGCCCCTTAACAGCACTAATCCTTCTAATACTAAGCTACCCTACTTCTACCTCCAACATGGTACTGGTAATTTTACACTAAAAAACTTTTTTTATTAAGTGGCAGTTCGCTTTTGGGTCAGTCTTTTTTTTTCAACATTTTTGTTTTGTTTTGTTTTAAAGTAATCTCTACACCCAACATGGGGACCGAACTTGCAACCTTGAGATCAAGAGACGCATGCTCTACCGACTGAGCCAGCCAGGAACCCCTGGGTAAGTCTTTTCTTAAGTAAACAATATTTTCAAAGGTAGATCCTTTTAATTTAATTTTTTTTAATTACTTTATTTTTAAAAAGTAATCTCTCTGCCCTACATGGGGCTTGAACTCACAACACAGAGATCAAGCGTTGCATGTTCTATCGACTATGCCAGCCAAGCACTCCTAAGTCCTTTTTATTTTTTTAAAAATCATTACATTAAATTGATTTGTGTAAATCTGATCAACACAGATTACACTTATATACTGTTTTACAGGATCAGCAGTGGAGGAAGACAAATTCGAAAGCTCACCTGCGAAGCCGTTAGTGTTTCCAGTTTATGAAGTCTCTGAAGGACGTTCTGCATGTCCTCCTGCAGGCGCATGAGGACGAGAGCAATCTGTTCATTGAGGCTGCCTCTTGACCCTCTATCAGAGCCCCAGCGCTCCCCGTCACCTCCGCTTCCTACTTGCCGACCCTTGGATCCTTCGCTCATGTGTGGCATTCTATGCCCTATTTCAAGACAGCAAAATAAGGTAGTTTTAAATAATTCTTATAAAAGTAGCAACAGTGCGTTTTACTCATTTTCCTCTATTATTTCTTTGAGTTCTAAATCTCCAAAGTGGAGTGGAAGCAATCAGGAAGTACACAAAACACAGAGAGCAAAGAAGTAGATATATAAGCTTCTATTTGTATTAATATACTCAGTGTTTTTCTTGCTAAGGTTTTATAATGTACTTATTACACTAGCACATGATGAAATGCATGTAATTCACACATAATTTACATACTTGGGCTGCATTCTCAAAAATTCCTTACTAATGGGGCACCTGGGTGGCTCAGTTGTTAGGTGTCTGCCTTCAGTTCAGGTCATGATCCCAGGGTCCTGGGATGGAGCCCCACATTGGGCTCCCTGCTTGGCGGGAAGCCTGCTTCTCCCTCTCCCACTCCCCCTGCTTGTGTTCCTGCTCTCGCTGTGTCTCTCTCTGTCAAAAAAATAAATAAAATCTTAAAAAAAAAAAAAATTCCGGGCACCTGGGTGGCTCAGTTGGTTAAGCGACTGCCTTCGGCTCAGGTCATGATCCTGGAGTCCCTGGATCGAGTCCCGCATCGGGCTCCCTGCTCAGCGGGGGGTCTGCTTCTCCCTCTGACCCTACACCCTCTCATGCTCTCCCCCTCTATCTCATTCTCTCTCTCAAATAAATAAATAAAATCTTTAAAAAAAAAAATTCCTTACTAATAAGATAACAAGACTGAAAAAATTTGAAGACTGCTTTTTTAGAGTACTAAAAACTACACTAAAATAGCTGTATTTTCCACTTGGGTCATTTTTTATTTCATCACAGTGTAAGTCTCTCAAAAGGTTTTTTGGGTTTTTTTTTAAAGATTTTATTTATTTATTTGACAGAGAGACACACAGCAAGAGAGGGAATACAAGCAGGGGGAATGGGAAAGGGAGAAGCAGGCTTCCCACGGAGCAGGGAGCCCGAGGCGGGGCTTGATCCCAGGACCCTGGGATCATGACCTGAGCCAAAGGCAGACGCTTAACAACTGAGCCACCCAGGCACCCCTCTCAAAAGGTTTTTTAATGTATTTTTATTATAAATACTATTATACTTATCACTACTATTAAGATTTTGTTATATAACCATCCATTATTTTTCCTATGCATATATTATAGAATTGGCATTACCAACACAAGATTCTGTGTCCTTCTTTTAAAAAAATATCATAAACATTTATCTGCATCATTAAATTTTATTTAAAAAACACTGCAACGGCTACATAAATTCCCCAGTAAGACCACGAAGTAATTTACTCAATCATTCTCCAACTTTGGATAATTAGGATGATTCCAAATTTTTGTGATTACAGATTACACTGTGATGAATGTCTTTGTATATAAATTCTTGTCCAGGGCGCCTGGGTGTCTCAGTTGTTAAGCGTCTGCCTTTGGCTCAGGTCATGATCCCAGGGTCCTGGGATTGAGTCCTGCATCGGGCTCCCTGCTCGGCGGGAAGCCTTCTTCTCCCTCTCCCACTTCCCTTGCTTATGTTCCTGCTCTCGCTGTGTTTCTCTCTGTCAAATAAATAAATAAAATCTTTAAAAAAAATAAAAAATAAAAATAAATTCTTGCCCAAATTTCTGATTTCTTTAGGAAAAACAGAATCAAAAAAGAAGAATTACTGGGTCAAAGGATGACAACTTTGAAGAAGTTCTTTTTTTTTTTTTTTGAGAGACAGAGAGAGCACGAGCAGGGGGAGGAGCAGAGGGAGAGGGAGAAGCAGACTCCTCACTGAGGGAGCCTGATGCAGGGCTCGATCCCAGAACACTGGGATCATCACCTGAGCTGAAAGCAGACGCCCAACCCACTGAGCCACGCAGGCGCCCCTTTGTAGAGGTTCTCAATGAGTGTTGCCAAGTTATTTTTCAGAAAGGCTGCAACAGTTTTACATTGCAGCATATAAAAAGCACTACTGTGCAGAAATGGAATATTACAAGTTCTTATCTGTTTGCTAATACAGCAGGTAAGTTTTGTTTGTTTAAGTAATAAATAGGAATCGCCCTTTGGCACCCTGGAGCCCTAGAGTGGCAGCAGGATTCCCAAAGGTGAGCTTGCATCAAGCAGTGTTTTTATAAAAGTGGTCTTGTTAGGGGCGCCTGGGTGGCTCAGTTGTTAAGCGTCTGCCTTCGGCTCAGGTCATGGTCCCAGGGTCCTGGGATCGAGCCCTGCATCCGGCTCCCCGCTCGGCGGGAAGCCTGCCTCTCCCCCCTCCACTCCCCCTGCCTGTGCTCCTCTCTCACTGTGTCTCTCTCTGTCAAATAAATAAATAAAATCTTTAAAAAAAAAGATTAAAAAAAAAAAAAGTGGTCTTGTTAGAGAAACGGAACTGGGGCTGTTTACTAGGTGAAACCCCAAAGAGAACACTGAGGTGCTTATGCCATTTCAAGAAGACTTTACTCTTGTATTGAAAGGAAATAAGTTTTGAAGTGGTTCTTCAGCTGTCAGGAAAGGACCACTTCAGCTATTGGTATGGAATTTGCAAGGGGGGAAAAAAGTGGGAAATCTGGTTGGAGGCCTGGTTTTTTCCTGCATCCCTAAGAGCCTGAGATATTCTGTGAGGGCCTGTCGGAGGGTACGGAAGGCCCCAGAGAATTAGTCCCATCTCTGCTCACTTTACCATATCCTACGTCACAGTCAGCTTTCAAACCAGCCTCACAAAAACAGGATTAATCAGACCATTCCCATGTGATGGTAATCCCCACCTCCTGTCACGCAATCCAATGATTCATTTTTTTTTTTTTTCGGAGCACTTACCACCATTTGCAACCAATCGGAATTATTTACTTATTCACTGTCAGCTCCCCTTTACTAGAACATGAGCTCTGGGGAAGGAGGGACTATCTCGTTCTCTACAGCAACCCCAGGAACCCAGAACAGTGCCTGACAAAGAACAGCTCAATAATACTTATTCAATGCTGAAGCAGATTTTCTGTGAAGCTTGTGAAGCTTAACTTCAGGGTCTGGCACTTTTAGGGACCCCTGTGATTGCCAGGAGTTGTGGTGTTTTATAGGTGGGCTGAAGTCAGGTTATAAATTGGAAGCTTTTCATACATACAATTTTGGTAAATTGCTTAAGGAAAGGGGCCTGAATCCAAGGCTCTAGTAATAGGTTGTGATCTTTCTCTTCTTCGTTAAATACTTACCATTCGGTACATGTTCAAATGGCTAGTGTTTGAATAATAATTTTCTTTCTTTTTTTTAATATTTTATTTATATATTTGAGAGAGAGAGAGCACGAGCAGAGGGGAGGGGCAGAGAGAGAGGGAGCAGACTCCCCGCTGAGCAGGAAGCCCGGCACGGGACTCGATCCCAGGACCCTGGGATCATGACCTGAGCTGAAAGCAGACACTTAACCAACTGAGCCACCCAGGAGCCCTAAACAATAATTTTCTTAATACCATTAATTCTTGGGACACCTGGGTGACTCAGTCGTCAAGCGTTTGCCTTCGGCTCAGGTCATGATCTCAGGGTCCTGGGATCAAGTCCCACATCGGGCTCCCTGCTCTGTGGGAGGCCTGCTTCTCCCTCTCCCACTCCCCCTGCTTGTGTTCCCTCTCTCGCTGTGCCTCTCTCTGTCAAATAAATAAATAAAATCTTAAAAAAAAAAAAATACCATTAATTCTCTCTTTTCTCCCCCTATGTCTTCATTTGTTTTATGCAGATTTTTTTCAACCAGACACATAGATAATCCTTTTTTTTATGACCTCATGAAATTATACAGGGATTTTCCTTTTTTTAAGTGTATAACATCGTGATTTAATATTTGTATATATTGCAAAATAATCACCACAATAAGTCCAATTAATATCTGTCACCATACAGTTACAGATTTTTTTTCCTTGTGGTATCTTTTAAGATTTACTATCTTAGCAATTTTCAAATACCCAATACAGTATGATTAGCAATCGTCACCATGCTGTACATCATATCCCCATGACTTACTTATTTTATAAGTGGAAGTTTTTATCTTTGACCCTTGTCCCATTTCACATCCCCCGCACCTCTGCCTCTGGCAATTATCAATCTATCTATTCTCTATCTATACGCTTAGTCTTTTTTCTTAGACTCTACATATGAGATCATATGGTATTTATCTTTCCATTAATTCTCTTTTTTGACAGTACCTATTCATTCCTAACTATGAACAATTATAAATTAATATATACTTACTTTTCTTCCCCATTCAACTCTAGTCTATTACCTGATCACGGTACTTTTCTTTTTTTTTTTAAAGATTTTATTTATTTATTTGACAGAGGGAGACACAGCGAGAGAGGGAACACAAGCAGGGGGAGTGGGAGAGGGAGAAGCAGGCTCCCCGCGGAGCAGGGAGCCCGATGCAGGGCTCGATCCCAGGACCCTGGGATCATGACCAGAGCCGAAGGCAGACGCTTAAGGACTGAGCCACTCAGGCGCCCCTCACGGTACTTTTCTTAATGTTCACCTTTGTATTGTTAAATGTTCTTTATCTCTACTACTTGATTTGTCAGCTTTAAGAGATATCTTTTGATTTAAGTAAGGAAATGTGGAAAAGACAGAATTCAAATTTTTACCTATAGTAGCAAATAAAAGCAGAAACGCAGCTAGAGGAACCAGTAAGGAATTGCTCAGGGGAAGGGGGGTGACAGAACATAAATTTGGCTACCTCAAAAAACTGCATAAAAGATGGAGAAATAGGGATGTTCCCCACCCCCCCAACCGGTACCTTCAGAAATCAAACTACTATGCCTTGTAGAACAAAGGAGAGAACCGGGCATAAAGAAAAATGGTCAGATGTTATGTAAGGATAATTTATTTTAACATTTCCTAGTTCCTTTTTAACATTTAATAGTTCTAATGTCTCTCCTATCTGAAACTTTCCTGTTTTACTAATTAGTTTATAAAGAGTCAGTGAGAACAAAAAAGAATACACACCTCTCCCTCTTCTGACGTTAGAGAAGTCCTCATTTTCTCCACCCCGTCTCTCACGGTGTGGTGCTCCGCTGTTACTCCGGCCATCTTCTCCTCCATGCTTTACTTCACCTTTTCCTTCAACTGCTACCACCTGCATTTCCCCAATGTTGCCTTTTCCAGGAGATCCTTCTTCAGGAAAAGCAGAATATTCCAAGGGCTGATTGGGATCAACATCCAGGTAATCTCGAAATGGTCCAGTGTTTGATGTAAAGCTGTCTAAAGACTACAAATTTAAAACAATACTTAGTTAAAAGCTATAAACATAAGTTTTTATGATAATAGAAGAACTACTGTTCTTATAAAACTTTTGTCATGTTATGATAGAAAATATTTTTCTAAAAAGTTATTCATCTACTGCTTCTTCCTATATGTAGGGAAGAAATGAGATAGAAATGATTTATCCATGAGCAAAGAATTGAGTAGTTTTGGCAATGAATTGTTCTCATGGGTCAGTCATTCATCCAAGAGATTTTTTTTAAAATGTCTAATCTTGGGAACACCTGAGTGGCTCAGACAGTTAAAAATGTCTACTCTTATTCTAGTTACTATGCTAAACTCTAAGGATAATATGAAGACAGAGTTAAAAATCTCTGCAAGAGGCTTCTAGTCTTGGTAAGGGAGTGAAAGAAGTAAGATCACTACAACATAGTTTGATAAGTGTTATGAAAAAGATAGACAATGGGTGCTTGCTACAGGAACTCATGCGAGGGGTGCCATACTGGGTTTGAGTGGAGGCTTCCTGGACGAAATGATATGAACTAAGTAAGTTGGCCATAAAAAAAGAATGAAATTTGGCCATTCTCAACAACATGGATGGACCTAGAGGGTATTAGGCTAAGTGAAATAAGCCAGACAGAGAAAGACAAATACTGTATGATTTCATTTATGTGTGGAATCTGAAAAGCAAACAAAAGCCAAACAACTCTTAAATACAGAAAACTAACTGGTGGTTGCTAGAGGGGAGGTGGATGTGGCAGAGATGGGTGAAATAGATAAAGGGGATTAACAGCTACAAACTTCCAGCTGTAAAATAAGTAAGTCTCGGGGCGCCTGAGTGGCTCAGTCGTTAAGCATCCACCTTCGGCTCAGGTCATGATCCCAAGGTCCTGGAATCGAGCCCTACATCAGGCTCCCTGCTCCGCGGGAAGCCTGCTTCTCCCTCTCCCACTCCCCCTGCTTGTGTTCCCTCTCTCGCTGTGTCTCTCTCTGTCAAATAAATAAATAAAATCTTTTAAAAAATAAATAAATAAATAAGTCTCAGAGGTGGAAAGTATAGCATAAGAAATATAGTCAACAATATTGTAATAGAGTTGTATGGTAACTACACTTATCGTGGTGAGCACCGAGTAAGTAATGTACAGAATCATTGAATCAACATGTTGTACACCTAAAACTAATATAATATTGTATGTTAATTATACTTTAAAAAAAAAGTCAGTGTAAAAAAAAAAATAAAATAAAAAAATAAAAAAAAGTCAGTGTGAAGTACAGATTTATTTGAAAATTATCCACTTTTCTTGACTGTCAATCAATGTTTCAAACATAGGGACTAGCTTTAAGAGTTTACCCTCTGGGGCGCCTGGGTGGCTCAGTTGGTTAAGCGACTGCCTTCGGCTCAGGTCATGATCCTGGAGTCCCAGGATCGAGTCCCGTATCGGGCTCCCTGCTCGGCAGGGAGTCTGCTTCTCCCTCTGACCCTCCCCCCTCTCATGTGCTCTCTCTCATTCTCTCTCTCTCAAATAAATAAATAAAAATTAAAAAAAAAAAAAAAAGAGTTTACCCTCTGTCTCCCCCATCCCACCTCCCTCAGAATATTTACAAATATAAATATATTATAAATTATAATGTTTAAATATTTTTTAATATTCAAGAATATTATATATTTTTAAAATCACAAAAATAATTTTAAATACAAATGTTTAAATATTTTATAGGGGGGGCGCCTGTGTGGCTCAGTCATTAAGTGTCTGCCTTCAGCTCAGGTCATGATCCCGGGGTCTGGGGATCGAGCCCTACATCGGGCTCCCTGCTCTGCGGGAAGCCTGCTTCTCCCTCTCCCTCTGCTGCTTCCCCTGCTTGTGTTCCTTCTCTCCCTGTCTCTCTATCAAATAAATAAATAAAATCTTAAAAATAAATAAATAAATATTTTATAGGTATATTTTCAAAGTGATGAACAACATGTACATCTGCTATTAAAAGAATTTATGCAGGGTGCCCGGGTGGTTCAGTTCGTTAAGTGTCTGACTCTTGATTTTGGCTCAGGTCATAATCTGAGGGTTGTGAGATTGAGCCCCACATCAGGCTTGCACTGGGTGTGGAGTCTGCTTGAGGTTCTCTCCCTCCCTCTCTCTCTGCCCCTCCCCCCACCTCCCACATGCGTGCTCTCTTAAAAAAATAATAATAAAATTAAAAATTAAAAAATAAATAAAAGAAGTTATGCACTGAATTCTGATATATCACTTTGAAAATTTACCAATTAAAAAATGTCATTTTTACCTCTTCTTGTCCAAATTGCTCCATGGAATCACAGTAAACTTCACTGTCTGAATCACTTGTCAAATGCTGAATTCCTGAAACATCTTCAACATGATCATCATTTATATCTAAAAATGAACAAATGATGGAAAAATTATTCTCTAATTGAAGAAAAATGCATTTATTCCATTCTCAAAATTTATCAGTTCTATATTATTTTCATACTGGAGACAAATTTGATTTATTAAGCCATATTTTTTCTTCTAACTTACCAAAACTTTAAATTTAGTTGATAATTTTTATTTGAAAAGATTATAGTTTATCATGTAATTACACAAACACACTGTCCATATCAAACTGTACAAAACTTAATAACCTTGTAAGAGAAAACTGACTACCAGCTAGGAGGCCTAAATTGGTATGCAACTATGCAAGTTCAGTTGTTATATTAAATAAGTTTATTTCCTGGTTTTGTGTTTGTTTTTTTTTTTTAAGATTTTATTTATTTATTTATTTGACAGAGAGACAGAAAGGAGAGAGGGAACACAAGCAGGGGGAGTGGGAGAGGGAGAAGCAGGCTTCCCGCTGAGCAAGGAGCACCACGTCGGGCTCGATCCCAGGACCCTGGGATCATGACTTGAGCCGAAGGCAGACGTTTAACGACTGAGCCACCCAAGCGCCCCTATTTCCTGGTTTCTTGACTGAATTGCAGCAATGTTCATAATTCATCAACTACATACTATAGGCTCACCCCTAGAGTCCTAAGATATGAAAAGACTATAACTTATCTTGCTGAATGGAAAGCAAAGGCATCATATAATCAGAGGTTTAGGTTAAAAGAAACATCAGGAATAAAAGTTAAAAATTTCAAAATTTTAGGGCCGCCTGAGTGGTTCAGTTGTTAAACATCTGCCTTAGGCTCAGGTCATGATCCCAGGGTCCTGGCATCGAGCCCCACATCAGGCTCCCTGCTCCGTGGGGAGCCTGCTTCTCCCTCTCCCACTCCCTCTACTTGTGTTCCCTCTTTCGCTGTGTCTCTCTGTCAAATAAATAAATAAAATCTTAAAAAATTTTTTTTTCAAAATTTTATTTTAAAATGCCATACAACACAATAAGAAAAGTCTCAATAAAAATATAAAAGTTGCCCCTAATTGCACTATCTTTCAAAGCTATACACCCTTATAATATTAATAAACCCTAGATATTCCTGAATAAGAGATTTTTATGGGAACTCTTTCCTTACTTCCTTTCTCTCTCTCTCCTCCCTCCCTCCTTCCCTTCCTCCCTCCCTTCCTTCCTTCTTTCTTTTTTTGAGTAGGCTCCATGCCCAGTACAAAGCCCAATGTGGGCTCACGACCCCGAGATCAAGACCCAAGCCGAGATCAAGAGTTGAATACCCAACTTCCTGAACCACCCAGGTGCCCCCTGAATAAGAGGTTTTTAAATTCTAAACTGCGGGCCCCTGGGTGGCTCAGTTGGTTAAGCAACTGCCTTCAGCTCAGGTCGTGATCCCGGAGTCCCGGGATCGAGTCCTGCATCGGGCTCCCTGCTCGGCAGGGAGTCTGCTTCTCCCTCTCACCCTACCCCCTCTTGTGCTCTCTCTCTCTCTGTTTCAAATAAATAAAATAAAATCTTTTAAAAATAAATAAATAAATAAATAAATAAATTCTAAACTGCTCCTAAACATCCTAAAATAATGAAAACAATATTCCATTCATAGGCAAGAGGCTGGACAGATAATTATTATGGGACAATACCTTGATGAATGCAGACAGCATCTTTTCCAGTTTGCTCCAAGTTTTCATCTACAGCCTTTATTTCTTCAGCACTTCTGCCATTCAAGGAAGAACCGGCATGAATGTCATTCTGTGTATCCTGAGCAGAGTTGTCTTTATCATAGCCATTAGCAACAATGATTTCCAAATTCTTATGGTCTGCAGATTTCTTCATCATTTTCTTATCTTTTATAGGAAAGTAGGGGGATTCATAAAAGTTCACAGCAGGTCAATTTCTGTATATATGTTCTAATATCAAGTAATCATTTCTCCAACCTACCATAATTCCTTTTGATCAGTTTCCTACTTGGAACAGAGAGATGAAGTACTCCTTGAAAAGGGGTTTATTATATGCTGAGAGCACACTCAAAACTGCTTCAGTTCCCTGTAAATCTTCTAGAAGCTATTTTATTTTATTTTATTTTATTTTATTTTATTAAGTGGGCTCCACACCCAACATGAGGCTCAAACTCACAACCCCAAGATCAAGAGTCACATGCTCTACCAACTGAGCCAGGCAGGCTTCCCTAGCACCCCTTTTAAAAGATAACCTCTCAAGGTCTTTACACTCTCTCAAGCATAGGCAAATTGCCTTACAAGACCCAGCAGTACAAAGGGATCCACATAGTCAATAAAAATATCCTTCAAAGAAGGTATTATTTGTCATATCTTTCTAGAGAGTAAAAGCAAAACTAAGTTGTACTTGTGTCTTCCTGCCTCCCCTTTCTCAAATAGTCTTCCCAAGAATCACTGGTACTCTTACTAACAAGCCCTCCCTCCCCCCATGCAGTACCCTATGACTCCAAAGTCCCCTCTTCATCAATCCAATTCTCTGGATTCCATTCTATTCTTGATAAGGTCTGAGAGTTTAACCTGTCTCCTCTCCTTGGTAACATATGCATAGTCATATTTGGAACAATACTTAAAATGAATACATTTCTTTTTTTAAGTAAATTCTATGCTCAACATGGGGCTTGAACTCATGACTCTGAGATTAACAGTCGCATGCTCTACCGACTGAGTCAGCCAGGCGCTCCATAAAATGAATACATTTCTAATGCAGCGTTTCAGGCATTACATTTACAGAAGTGGTCTATTCTTGTTAGTGTTCAATTCCATCTATTCTATCTATGCACAAAGTTGACTGTTCCCGTACTTTTGGCCCACAAAAAACTTGGTTATAAGGTCATTAGCCCACATCCCACCATAAACACTATTCTCATACAACACCAAATCAGCCCAAACCGCTCCATATTTTATTTACTTTATTTTATTCCTTTTAAAGATTTTACTTATGCGGCGGGGCAGGGGGGCTTGGCAGAGGGAGAGGGAGAAGCAGGCCCCCGCAGAGCAGGGAGCCCAATGTGGGGCTCGATCCCAGGACCGAGGGATCATGACCTGAGCTGAAGGCAGACGCTCCACCGACTGAGCCACCCAGGCGTCCCCATACTTTATTTACTTTAGTGTTAAATTATTAGCTCATCATCCAAAGATTACCATTATCACTTTGTTCTGCTCCTTTCACTTCTTCTTGGGCCTCTTCTTCCTCAGACTCAGCTCCACTATCACTGCTTTCAGCTTTACCATTAACAGTTTTGGCATTTGGAGTAGAAGTTAGAACATTACCAAGATCTAAAATATGAAATGATCACTTAATCGCTAGTGCTATAACATACAATAAGGCTGTAATTTACAAATTATACTGTCATTTACAAATAACTAATAAAATAATTTGGATAAAACTTAAAATTTTTCTTATTCTTTTCTTTGACTATAAGTATACATATATTACATAAACTTCTTCAAGTATCAGTTTACAACAAAAATGACAAAGCTGTCTTAAATCCTTTCTAAACAAGACAGGGAATGTTATTTTTAAGTTAATTATCAATCAAAATAGTAAAGTTAGAGATGAATGATCTTCTTTATACACAGTAAATGAAGACACATTGCTATATGCTAGCATACTGAAAACAAATATAACAATCTCATCAATATTATAATTGAACTACATTTTAAAATTGTTTCATCCTTTTATTACCTTTAAGATTTTATATTTATCGTTTTTTTAAAGCATCAGTTAATGTGATCAATCACTTAAAAAGGCACATACATTGTCCTACTGGCCAGTCAAATGTTGAGGGTAAATACATCGGAACTTCTCAAACATTAACATGCACAGGAATCACCTGAGATCCAGTTAAAATGCAGATTCTGAATCTGTAAGTCTGGAGTGATGTAAGATTCTGCATTTCTGTAAAGCTCTCCTGTGATGCCAATGCTGTTGGTTACTGGACCTCATTTTGAAATATAGGGAATTACATTTCCGTCACTCTCTGAGATAATAAAGGCCTCCTACATGGCTACTGGCCAAAAACAGTGGTCCCTCTCCATAAACTTTTGGGCTCATTTTCACTTATTCAAATGCATTTTGGATGCTTCCCTGCATCCCAAACAACATATTAAATTTCAAAATCTCCATACATCTTAAACAGGAACAAAAGAGTAAGAACTCAACTCTACCACTGCCATTGTGTTCTAGTCTCTTTTAGAGAACCATGCAGCATCATAGTTTATGAATCTCCTTGTTCCCTCCCTGACAACCAGAAAAAGCAAGACTAACAAAAACAAAAAAGAAACAAAACAAAAAACAAAAAAAAACAAACCTAAAAACAAGAAAAAAACTAACCAAACAAACAAAACAAAACAAAAAAACCAAAGAAACAAAAACGCCCACCACTCATGGACATCTTCAACAAAACTAAGCAACAGGGAACCTCTTAAGCCCCCATCAAACGGATGATTGTAGCAAAACTACTTAAGAGCAGCAAAAGCAGCATCACAGCAGTTCTGTGATGAGAGGTGTAGAAAGCACAGAGAATTACCAGCAAGCCCTACTCAACATCCAAAAATCAGTTAATGTAATACACCATACTAACAGAATAAAGGACAAAAGCCACATGATTATCACAATAGATGCAGATAAAGCATTTGACAAAAATCAAATACTTTCATGATAATAATGCTAAAGAAATTAAAAATACAAGAGAATTTCCTCAATCCGATAAAGGGCATCTACAAAAATTCACAACAAGCCTCATAATTAATGCTAAATGACTGAATGTTTTTTGCTCCTAAAATAAGGAAGAAAACAAAGAGGTCTGCTTTTGCCATCTCTATTTCATATGGTACTGGAAGTTCTTGCCATGGCAATTAGACAAGAAAAATAAATAAAAGGCATCCAGATTGAAAAGGAAAAAGTAAAATGGCCTCTGTTTGCAAATGACATGCTCTTATATACATGAAATCCTAAGGAATCTACCAAAAAAACCTATTAGAACTAACAAAGGGTTCAGTGAGACTGCAGGATACAAGATCAATAAACAAAACAAAAAAGAAACAAACAAAAAAAACAGATTGTATTTCTACAATCTAACAATGAACAGTCCAAAAATGAAATTACAAAATAATCTATAATAGCAGCAAAAAGAATAAAATGCTCAGCACTACACTTGACAAAAGGTGTAAGAATTTTATACTGCAAATGACAAAACATTGCCGAAAGAAATTAAAAAACTAAATAAATGGATTGGAAGACAATACTGTTGTGATGACAATACTCCTCAAAATGACCTACAATTCATTGCAATCCCTATCAGAATCCTAGGTGACCCTTTCGCAAAAAATTGACAAGCTGATTCTATAATTCAAACGGAAATGCAAAGGATCCAGGATGGTCAAAACAATCCTGAAAAAGGACAAAGTTGGACAGTTCATACTTCCTGATTTCAAAACTATGTACGTATACTATGAAAAAGCCCGTATGACACAGATACATCTGTTCTACTGGGCCTAAGTGGCTACTTTTAATACCACTCTCTGTTAAAAAAAAAAAAAAAAAAGTCAAGATTGCAAACTATGAAATACCCATATACTTTGACCTTGGCTATTCGATTTCTAATATTATTTCTTACAGATATACCTACCCATATATTAAATGACATTTGTACAGGGTTACTTTCAGTAGCGTTTTTTGAAGATTAGAAGAGGAAACAAATATAACACTGTATGTTAACTATACTGAAATTAAAATAAAAAACTTAATATTCCCTTAGAATGTTACAGGTTAAATAAATTATGGTACAGATCCACATCCCTTATAACCTTTGGATCCAGATATGATTTAAAAAATCCAGTCTTCTAATTTTGCAAAGGTCATATACCAAAGGTACCATATATTATGTAACACCTTCAACAGAGTCTAAGGCAGCTCCCACTAAAAAACAATAATAAATAAAGTTTTGACAGCAACGCATATGAATAGTCACACAAAAATAAAGATTTAAAATAGCCTCATGTCATTTCAGGTCAGGGTCCGCTGCTCAATTAGTTCATGTTCAGTTCTTAATTTTAAAGATACAAGTGGCCACATAAAACTATGTATAAGCTGAAAAATATGCAAAACTGATATAGGATTTTTGGTTGCCTAAAGTAAATGTTTTGCTCTCAAATGAGTTACCAAAAAAAAAAAAAAAAAAGTCTGGTTTATCAAGCTTTTTGAATTTTTAAATTATAGCTTAGGGATTATGGACCTGAGCCTTTATTATCATTATTCATTCTTCCTTGTCTTTATAATTAGTTGTTTAAACATTTGCCTCCGGGCCAGCTTAAACACAACTAAAAACGGGTCCAGGTTTATTCTCCTCTGAATCCTAGAAACATGCTTCACCCAGAGGAAATACTTAATATTTTTTCTGCACTGACTAGCATGAATTATATGGAAGATTATTTGTTAAAATTGGATTCCTTTAGGCAAATCAGCTATGGAGGATGTGGTTATACGAGCGTTATGCTCAGTGAGCACATCAGTTACTACTGCAGACACAAACGGTAGTAGATCTTATAACAGACAGGAAGGTAACTGTTCGCAAACCCCTAATTTCTGTCAATTAGTAAAAGACACCTTGTAAATAGGGATGCCAGGAAAATAAAACATATATAATTTTCATTTGAAATAATTCTTACAGGCTCATTTCACTCTGCTTTCTAAAACAAACAAAAAAAAATTTAAAGAGCGAATGTTTACAGTTAGTGCCAGCAAATTTGCCTATTATTCAACTCCTGCTAGTATGTAAAAGATAAGTCTTCCAATTCTTTCCTGAGAACATGAAATTAGAATCTAAAAAAAAAAAAAAAAAAAAGTCCAAGCTAAGTGAATTCACTGATGTCCTGTTTTAGGTTACTACACTATGTAATTAAACCATACTATAAACATATCCATGTTAAAATTAGCTAGAAAACCATTTTAGCCATGGCACTGTTAATGTAATCCAGAAAGCGAATCAGAAAGTATGATCCATCAAAATAAAATCATGAATTCTGTTACAATTCTGTATATTTAGTGAGCCACCTGTCATGTTTTAATAATTGAAGGGTTAAAACTTAAGCATTTATATTTTTGAACTTTATGCAATATATTTGCTTGGAATGAAAACTCTTGAGTGACAAGCTTGTAAGTTATATAAATTTGTGAAAATTCTTTTGGCATGTAAATTTTAAATAAAATGTTTACATGGATGTCATTATTCCTACCTTCTAAGTATTTAGAGATTTTCTCCAGTCGGACTGGCATGTGAAAGTAAAAAAAAATTAGAAATATAAATATTAATGCATGCATAATATATCAGTTGCTGGATTAAAAACAAGGTAAGACAGTCCAACCTGAGGTTAAATCAGAAGTTCTGCCACTCTTTTTGTCTTCTACAATTTCATAAAATGGACCTATGACATGTAGCAACTCTTCAACTTTCTCAGTCATAGGCATAGTTTCAAGAATCTGTAATCAAAAGAAACAAATCTTATGAAATCACAAACTACTAATCTCACATACATTAGTACCAAATAATATAATATTTACAATTTATTTAGTAATATTTTTGAGATCTGATGTTCATTTATAGATTCCCCCAAGTATCTATATTAATTACATACTTAAAAGTGTATACTCTCCTAGAAAAGTTTCAAGTATATTAAAGATTTAAAAGTGTCTTCATTTTGAAGACTGTTTTATATAGGCTTCTTTTAAAATTTTACACAATAACCTATAAATTGTGCATTAAAAACTAAGGGCAAGGTGCCTGGGTGGCTCAGCTGGTTAAGCGACTGCCTTCGGCTCAGGTCATGATCCTGGAGTCCCTGGATCGAGTCCCGCACCAAGCTGCCTGCTCGGCAGGGAGTCTGCTTCTCCCTCTGACCCTCCCCTCTCTCATGTGCTCTCTCTCTCCAATCAATAAATAAAATCTTTAAAAAAATAAATAAATAAATAAAAATAAAAACTAAGGGCACTAATGTTAAATACAACAGAAAATAATGGGGTTAGAGTAAAATTATTTTGTCTGTTCTTTAAGGTAGTGTTTCTAAGAGGGCACAAAAGGAAAGTAGGAAACGGTCATCACTTTCAGTCACCTTCACAACTATGGGCCATTTTAGAATCATCAAGTTTAAAGAGCAAGGTAAACTAACTGAAAAGGCATTCAAATAAACAGCCATCAACTGGTAACTGATAAAAGAAAATATTTCCATATAGGACATATTTTGTAGATATTTAAAAAGAATAAGGTTAGCTTTGTGCGTGCTGATGGGAAAACATCTTAATTTTTTTTTTTTTAAAGATTTTATTTATTTATTTGAGACAGAGAGAATGAGAGAGAGAGAACACATGGGAGGGGGGAGGGTCAGAGGGAGAAGCAGGCTCCCTGCCGAGCAGGGAGCCCGATGCGGGACTCGATCCAGGGACTCGATCCAGGGACTCGATCCAGGGACTCCAGGGACTCCAGGATCATGACCTGAGCCGAAGGCAGTTGCTTAACCAACTGAGCCACCCAGGCGCCCCTTAATTTTTTTGTTTTTTTACAGGCAAAAGGTAGTGAACAGTAGTAGTATGATACCATTATTAGTTTTTTTCTCTTTTTAAATAAGAAGATATAGATACATATATGTGTTTTCCGAATCAATCTACAAAATAGAACTAAAAGTAATTATCACTTAAACAATTAAAATGGAGGAATAGGGAAGACTCACTTTTCATTTTATACTTTTTTTTTGATGTTTGGATTTTTTTCATTTACATATATTACTTTTATTACTAAGATGAACACATTTATTACTTTAAGCAACCAAAATCCTATCATTTTTGCATATTTTTCACTTATACACAGTTTTAAAGTGGCCACTTGTATCTTTAAAATTAGGAACAACCTCAGACTCCTCAGTCACTCTCCCTGCTTTATTGTTTGCTTACTGCCTATCTTTCGCAATACAATGTAAGCTCAGTGGAACAAGACCTTCCTCTGTTTTTCATCGCTCCTGTATTTCCAGCATCTAGCACATACAAGGAATTTAATAAACAAGGCGGGGGTGTGTTGAGAGATTATACAGAATGAACTATGCCAGCCAAATCTCAGTCTAGGTAACTACTCCTTAAGCCCAGAGAAGATTTTATTTACAATATAGGTGAACTGAATCAAGTCAATTGGATTGTAACCTATCCAAATGAAGACTATTTGGTGAGCTGCATGGACTCTAAAAGCAGCATCCAAAGCACAATAATTTTTCTAGGTTTCTCTAGCACATTTCCTTGGTAAGAAACATCAATTCTGTATGATGAAAATATCCTATCAAAGGTACAGATACGCTGTATTGTAAAGCAAGCAAAGATTAAATTCCTCAGTTTTTTTGTTTTTTTTGAATCAAAAAGATGAACCAAAAGATGAACACATCTTTTAATGTCATCCAAATCTCAAGTGTTCTACGCTCTGTTCAGTAGACAATCTTACAGTTTCTCAAGTGCCTCTGACATTTTGAGGAGTGTCTTATATCTCAATCCTGAGCCTGTTGTGCACTAGAAGAGTGTAACACCCACTGTAACTTAAGGAATTAGCGTTCTGGGGAAAAAAGAAAAAAGAAATTCACATTCTGGTTTTTCTCTAAATCTCCAAAAGATGGCTATCATCAGTCAAGCCTTAAAAAGAGAAAGCCAATGTTCTGGACTTGTAGAGCTACAGACCAGACCCTCAGCCATGGTAACTTTCAGCTTCCATCCTTTATGAGAGTCTGTTCTAATCTTCCCTCTAGTATAGCGATTATCCCATCCTCTTAGAAATACTGAAATAATTAGTCTGGGGTTATGCTGGGGCATTTTTTTTTTTTTAAACAAGATCACCCTAGTGATTTCAATGTGCAGTCAGAGTTGAGTACATCGATCTCTCTTTAAATCCCACACACATACTGCATATTATTCAAGTTCTGGCTGAATTCTCCAGAAATCCTCACTAAGAAAGCCTATAAAATTTGGGGGCGGCTGGCTGGCTCAATCGGTAGAACATGCGACTCTTGATTTTGGGGTTGTAATTTTGAGCCCCACATTGGGTGTAGAGGTTCTTAAAAATAAAAATCTTTAAAACAAAAACAAAAAAAGATAGCCTGTAAAATTTGTACAGAAAATAAAATTTTATATTTCCTTTTGATAATGAATCAAAATTAACTTTAGTTAAAGAAATAAGAAAAATTATTTCCCACAAACCGCATTATTCTGTTCTCTCAAAGCTAAAATCCTATTAAATTATTTTAAAAGAATTTTTGATTCCAGCAACTTTTTGTGTTTTTCACTGAAGTTTATAAATTACAAAAAGCAATTTTCCACAAAACATTATCTATTATAAGATATAAATTAAATTGATAAGTTCCTTAAACATCTGAAGGCAAAAGCACAGAATGAAATTTATACTAAAAGAGTAATTCTAAAGAACAATAGCACAGTGGACTATATTTACAAATATAATTTAAAAACTGGGTCAGGGGGCACCTGGGTGGCTCAGTCGGTTGAGCGGCTGCCTTCGGCTCAGGTCATGATCCCTGGGGGTCCTGGGATCGAGCCCCACGTCGGGCTCCTTCCTCAGCGGGGGAGCCTGCTTCTCCCTCTCCCTCTGCCTGCCACTCCACCTGCTTGTGCTCTCCCTCTCTCTATCTCTATCAAATAAATAAATAAAATCTTAAAAATAAATAAATAAATAAAAATTAATAAAATAAAATAAAATAAAAACTGGTTCAGTTAGTAAATTATTGCAATTAGAAAAAGTCCCAGGGCACCTGGGTGGCTCAGTAGTTAAGCATCTGCCTTCGACTCAGGTCATGACCCCAGGGTCCTGGGATGTAGTGCAGCATCAGGCTCCCTGCTCAGCCTGCTTCTCCCTCTCCCTCTGCCTCTCTCTCTCTCAAATAAATAAATAAAATCTTTTAAAAAATTAAAAAGCCCCAAATTCAGTAATCAAGTCTTTGGGACAATGTACTACCCCACACCATTATTTAATACATATATATATATTTTTAAGTAATCTCTATACCCAGCATGGGGCTCGAACTCACAACCCTGAGATCAAGAGTTGCATACCCTACCAACTGAGCCAGCCAGGTGCCTCTGACTGGCCCCGAAACATCATTATTTAAAAGCATACAATTTAATCTGCCGATGTCCACAAAAGCAAATCTCTGAAAATTCTTTCAAAAACTAATCAAATTTTCAATCGATGGGCATCCTAACATTCTTAGATTTATCTCTAAAAGTTTACTATAAATTTTATTATATTCACCATATGAAAAATGAAATTTTAAAAGTCTGAATGGAAATAGTTGGTATATCCTTTTAATTAGAGAAGTGTTACAGAAATCTACAGGCGCAGTGGAAGTATCTTAAGACAGCTAAAAGGCAGCAGTATAGTTTAAATCCATCTCCCTCCCACTTTAAACTGTAGTACATCATTAATTAATCAAATCGTATAGGGAAAATGGGTAAATTTTACCTAATGTGTCAATTCAACTTTACATGATAGAAGTGTGTCCTAAAAATTAGAATGATATTTAAAGAAAGAAAAGGAAGAGTTACCAAACCAAAAAGGCTTTTGAAAGGCGCCTTTGTTATTGTGCTACTGATATAGTTAACAGCCAAAAGGACTAAACTCTGCCTTCTGTTATAGATAAACCAGGTCCACTAATAAAAACTGTGAAAATTTAACAAAGGGCACAACTTTGAGCAGTACAGAAGAAAACAAAATAAAACAAAACAAATGAATCTCAACCAACCAAACAGAAATTACTTCTAGAAATTAACACTGCCAAACAATCTGGCAACTATTCCTTTGTACAGATTTTCTTTAGGTTCACAGATAATTTATTTAAGATTATCAAACAGACCTAAATTTTACAATTTCTGATCCAGTTCCAAAATAGAAATGGTGCTTTATAAAAAGACACTAAGAGTATCTTTAAAATCCAGATTTCTTCATAAATTTGCTCCTCAAAACAATCCCTTGAACAGACTTAAAAGAGCTAGTTAGTAAGGAATGCCCTCCTTATTAATTACCAGAGACATTAAAAGAATCCTTATCTTATTCTGCTTCTGAAGGATCTCTGCATTCCCAGAAAAATGCTTGTTACTAAAAAGTCCTGTGATAGGAATATCTCAATTTGTGGGTCCAACTTGATGAGAACCCTGAGGGGCCGGGTTGTTAACTATTTCTCCTAAGTCAAAAGTTCCAAAGCAGAAGTGGTTCCAAGACAGCCCAGGTACTTCCCAGATTCCTGAGAAAGGGACTTCAGTACTTCAAAAGATTCCTATTTCCAAATTTTCTGAAGTTGACAACGGAGAAAGACAGGGAAGATTTTAAAAAAAAAAAAAATCACATTACTACAATGTGATCTTAAGGAAAAAACATTGATCTTAAGATGAACATTGAGGAGACAGATAAAGCACTAATAAATTCAATAACTTAGATGGTATATCCTAATATATTATAATCTCTTTGTTCCTTAAAACAAAGCAGCTAATTTGCTTGATAACAAATTAAATTAGAGCTGCTCTGAATATTTTCATTTTCTTTCTTTTTTTTTTTAACTCATCCTGAGATCAAGATCTGAGCTGAGATCAAGAATCAGACTCTTGGGGCCTGGGTGGCTCAGTTGGTTGAGCGACTGCCTTCGGCTCGGGTCATGATCCTAGAGTCCTGGGATCGAGTCCCACATCGGGCTCCTGGCTCGGCGGGGAGCCTGCTTCTCCCTCTGACCCTATCCCCTCTCATGCTGTTTCTCTCTCTCTGTCAAATAAATAAATAAAAACAAAATTAAAAAAAAAAAAAAAAGAATCAGACTCTTAACCAACTGAGCCACCCAGGTGCCCCATGAATACTTTCATTTTCTGCTGTGAATTATTCCCCCTACCTTTTTCATTTCTTCAACATATGCAATCATGGCTTCCTCTTTGGTCATATCACCCAATGAACTCCAAGCATCCCTAGAAATGAGAATATCCAAATAACAAAAAGACACGTTTTCCATTGGCTCAGAACGCAATTTATAGTCAATGCTATAGGGTCATTAATTTAAAACAGGCTCCCTCCTTAAAGCCTACACAAAGATACTATGCCCTCAAAGGATCACTTTAAATGTACCATCTTAAAGAAAAGTACCAGAGTAAATAAACTGTCAAATTAAGATTTTTAAATAGCATTTAAAACTAGTAAATACACAGCCCATCTATAGACTATAGATTACAGAGACTATATTACATACACTATAGAACAGACACTATAAACTGTTGAAAAATATTTGCTAGGAACTCTTCAAAAATTTTATATTATAAAGAACAGTGACATAAATGAACATTTTAGAGCTCTACACGAAATGAACTATCACAGCCATGTTTTCAATGAACAGAAGTTTTGCTTAAAAGTTTCCATTAATTTAAACAAGAGTCTAACTTATACACTCAAAAAAGACAAGTGGTTTCCTACTTCTAAAAAAAACCAAAAATGTGAGGCAGAGGACATTTTTAAACCCCTAGATAATGAGAACAGTCCTTTGAAATTTTTGCCTAAAATGAAAACCTTTCTTTTTACAGAAGCAGTTTAAATCAACCAATGGTCATTTCTGAGGAAAAATCATAAAGTAAATCAATTTTCTTAAAACAGATTAAGTAACATACTGCTATTACATTTAACCTATTATCTATGACTATTCATAAAGAACTTAGAGGAAAGTACAGTACTAAGAAATCCTCAAAAGAGTTTAAGGACTTCCAATTCAGTGTAAAGAAATTTAGCCATTGGGCACCTGTGTGGCTCAGTCAGTTGGGCATCTGCCTTCAGCTCAGGTCATGATCCCGGACACCTAGGATCGAGCCCTGCATCAGGCTCCCTGCTCAGCAGGGAGTCTGCTTCTCTCTCTGCCCCTCACCCTGCTCGTGCTCTCTCTCTCTCTCTCTCAAATAAACAAATGGAATTTAAAAAAAAAGAAATTAAGCCATCAAAATGTGTGGCTCTTAAGACATGCTTCACCAATTAGCATACTCTGTTCATGACGTACAGTCTATGTTACAGAGGTATCTCTGGCTATTTTATGATTCTCTTAAGTATATTAAAAATCAAATTTCTATTCAAGTACAGTGGGACAGGAGGGACACAGCCTAGATAAAAAGTTAGCACAGTAGTCCCTTAGTCATACACCTAGTTATCATCTAAAGGCTCAAGGCAAACAGTGTCACTTGGCAAGTAAAGTCATTATTTTTCTTGGTAGATACAAGAGGCAGAAGAGTTTGTTTGTTTGTTTAACTGACTTTGGGAGTTGCTCTTACAATAAATGAAAAAAACTCTATCAAAGGAAAGACGAACTGAAAATGATATTTTTTTATCTTTGATACACCTTTTGGTTTTATTCTCTTCTCTTCCCCAAGACTTTTCTATTTGTATGAAATTGTGTTAAAAGCACATGGAAGATAAAAATTGGATCTAGTACGTTAGAACACTTCTGCTCAGAATAATATATAACCACATAAATAAGTCATATAATTATGTCACTAAAATAAAATTCCTTTCATAGCTCTCTATATGAAATTACCATTTGTATCTTCCAATAGGATCCCAGAATCCAGGCCTTGAAAGTTTACAGGGTCCTTCAGTTGCCTGCTTATAGAAGCTATAGAATTTGAGCATCATTTCATTTGTTGGCTGAAATGAACCTATTGGAAACATATTAAATACAGATCACTGGAGAATACAATCGATAATCTAAGGCTATAAATCAGCTTAGCTAAATATTTCATTAATAGTTCAGATAATCTTTTATTTTTGTCTTACAGAAACAAACGTTATGGCTCTGTTAGTTGCTATACTCTTTTGATTAAAAATAATCTCAGATTTTTACACTTTAATAACAATGCCTAACATAGTCCAGTAAATAAAAGAATAAGTGAACAAACATGCTGTAGGTGTTATTAAAATAACTGGCAAATGTCATTTAAAAAAAGCAATATATGAAAATATAGAATAACTGCATTATGCAACTATAATAAGGTATTTTTTATTCAAAGATTGTGACAAACCAAACTGACTAGCATAAATGAAAAAGTTAAATGTACATTCTGCTTAACGGAACTTCAATACTAAGAAATTCAACTCCTCAGGGCGCCTGGGTGGCTCAGTTGGTTGAGCATCTGCCTTCGGCTTAGGTCATAATCCCAGAGTCCTGGGATCAAGCCCCCAGTTGGGCTCCCTGCTCAGCAGGGAGTCTGCTTCTCCCCCTTCTTCCCATTCTTGCTCTCTCTATCTCTGTCTCAAATAAATAGGGATCCTGGGATCAAGCCCCACTTTGGGCTCCCTGCTCCGCGGGAAGCCTGCTTCTCCCTCTCCCACTCCCCCTGCTCGTGTTCCCTCTCTCTGTGTCTCTCTCTGTCAAGTAAATAAAATCTTTAAAAAAAAAAAAAAAGAATTAATCCAAGATAAAAGAGATTTCTCGGGGCGCCTGGGTGGCTCAGTAGGTTAGGCCTCTGCCTTCAGCTCAGGTCATGATCCCCGAGTCCTGGGATTGAGTCCCGAATGGGGCTCCCTGCTCAGCGGGGAGTCTGCTTCTCCCTCTGCCTGCCGCTCCCCGATTGTGCTCTCCGACAAATAAATAAAATCTTAAAAAAAAAAAGACATTTCTCACTTCCTACCTCTGCAATATTGGACACGTCAATTTCATTGAAAATCAGCCTTCATATATGTCCCTAGCATATCTATAACCTTTTTTTTTTTTTTAAAGATTTTATTTATTTATTTGCGAGAGAGAGAATGAGAGACAGACGGCATGAGAGGGAGGAGGGTCAGAGGGAGAAGCAGACTCCCTGCCGAGCAGGGAGCCCGATGCGGGACTCGATCCAGGGACTCCAGGATCATGACCTGAGCCGAAGGCAGTCGCCCAACCGAGCCACCCAGGCGCCCCTCTATAACCTTTTTTATGTTAAAATTTTCTAATTGTGGGGTGCTTGGATGGCTCAGCCAGCTAACCATCAACCTTCGGCTTGGGTCATGGTCCCGGGGTCCTGGGATCGAGTCCCATGTCGGGCTCCCTGCTCAGCAGGAAGTCTGCTTCTCCCTCTCCCTCTGCCCCTTCCCCCTGCTCGTGCTCTCTCTCTCTCTCAAATAAATAAATAAAATCTTTAAAAAAAAAATTTCAAATTGTATGCATGAGTGTTATAAGTTGCAATACTTAATAAAAGGGAAAATTGGAATGCAAATGTTTTATAATAAATAATTGCCTAAATAATTATGATACATATATACAACAGAATAGTTTATAACTACAGCCCTTAAAAATTATATGGCATGAAAGTATAAACAATGGCTTAAGAAAAATTTCACAATCTACTATAAAGTGAGAAAAAACAGTAGTTTAAAAATAGCATATCCGGGGCGCCTGGGTGGCTCAGTCATTAAAGCCTCTGCCTTCGGCTCAGGTCATGATCCCGGAGTCCTGGGATTGAGCCCCACATAGGGCTCCCTGCTCCACAGGAGGCCTGCTTCTCCCTCTCCCACTCCCCCTGCTTGTGTTCCCTCTCTCAGCTGTGTCTCTCTCTGTCAAATAAATAAATAAAATCTTAAAAAAAAAAAATAGCATATCCAATGTAATCCATTTTTGCAAAATAAGTATTTATATACATAAAAAGCAGAATAGAAGGAAACACATCAAAATGTTAAAGAAGATATCTCTGGAGAAAGTAAGCATAGAGATTAATTTATTTTCCTTTTTGCTTACTTGTGTTTTAAAATTTTTTACATTCAGTGTGTTTGTATGTTAATTCTACACCAAAATTATTATAAAAATAAAACTTAAAACTGTAAAAAGGTATTTTAAAAACTTTATAGATTGTGGGGCGCCTGGGTGGCTCAGTCGTTAAGCGTCTGCCTTCGGCTCAGGTCATGATCCCGGGGTCCTGGGATCGAGCCCCACATCGGGCTCCCTGCTCCGCGGAAGGCCTGCTTCTCCCTCTCCCACTCCCCCTGCTTGTGTTCCCTCTCTCACTGTGTCTCTCTCTGTCAAATAAATAAAATCTTAAAAAAAAAAAAAAAAACCTTTATAGATTGCATAATAAACAGATAACATGTAGTAATCAAAAACGAGTAGTTTATAAACATTGTAAAAATTACAACATAGACAAGCTGAGAGCTGGTGTTTCAAGTTTGGCCAAGAATGAATAATTAATTCCAAAATCACAGTAACAATTATCTATATATAATAGATGCTCCTTTAGGAGTATCTCTTAGATATATTATTTCAATAATATGGTCCTTCTTTATATAAAAGGTAAAAAAAAAATGGGGAAATTACAGTTAAAATGGTTATGTATTTTCTTAAGCTTTGAAATAAAGTTTTATTTGAAAAAATATTTTTTAAATGGTTACCTATTTATTTATTTTTTTAATGGTTACCTACTTTTTTTTTTTTTTTTTTTTTTTTAGATTTTATTTATTTATTTGACAGAGAAAGACACAGTGAGAGAGGGAACACAAATGGGGAGTGGGAGAGGGAGAAGCAGACTCCCCGCCGAGCAGGGAGCCCGATGCGGGACTCGATCCCGGGACTCCAGGATCATGACCTGAGCCGAAGGCAGTCGCTCAACCAACTGAGCCACCCAGGTGCCCTAATGGTTACCTACTTAAATAAAACAAACTAAATTTAAAACACCAAGAGCCTCATTTCATAGTATCTTCAGTAAATCAAAATAAGATATAAAAGTTTATTTTTTAAGTTTATTTATTATTTGTTATGAGTGATATATACATTAGAATAGATTACAGCAAAAACTGATAAAGTATTGTATATATTCTGTGTGTAAGACACCAGATAAAGTATAATCTGTCACACACATATTATATGAGAGCCCCGATGCAGGGCTCTATCCCAGGAGACTGGGATTATGACCTGAGCCAAAGGCAGACCCTTAACCAACTAAGTCACCCAGGGGCCCCTGTTCTCTTAATAACAAACCCCTCATATGTCCTCCCCTAGTTTGACGTTTGAGATTACGAAAAGAATACTATTTTACGTATATTTGTTTTCAAAACCTTTTGAATCTCTTTTAATGAATTTTTATTAAACAGTGTTGAGTATTCATTACGAAGACAATTCATGATTAAAATAGAAAACATATTAAATACTGCAATAACGGTGTATTCATGAGTATTCAGTGAGTTTTACACTCTGGCACAGTAATAGTGCTTAAAAGCATCATTTAAAAAATACAATTTTAGGGCGCCTGGGTGGCTCAGTTGGTTGAGCGGCTGCCTTTGGCTCAGGTCATGATCCTGGAGTCCCGGGATCGAGTCCCACATCGGGCTCCCTGCTCGGCAGGGAGTCTGCTTCTCCCTCTGACCCTCCTCCCTCTCATGTTCTCTGTCTCTCATTCTCTCTCTCGCAAATAAATAAAATCTTAAAAATCAATCAATCAATCAATAAATAATAAAAAATACAATTTTAGGGGTGCCTGGGTGGCTCAGTCATTAAGCATCTGCCTTGGACTCAGGTCATGATCCCAGGGTTCTGGGATCAAGCCCCACGTGGGACTCCCTGCTTCTCCCCCTCCCACTCCTCCTGCTTGTGTTCCCTCTCTCTCTATTAAATAAAATCTTTTTAAAAAATATAAGTTTACTGTGACAAATAATTCATACAATGAAGAAGGACAGGAAGTAAAAGATAAAAGTTCCCCTTGCCAAGCCTCTCCACAGGAAAAAATACTCGAATAACGGCTTTAAACTTCCCAACTTTGGTCAAACACATAAAATTACAAATTCAGAAAGCTCTGTAAACTCTAAACAGGATAAATTTGAAGAAAACCACACCTGGACACATCAAAGTCAAATTGCTAAAAGCCAAAGATAAAGAGAAAAATTTTGGAAAGTAGCCTGAGAAATGACACATTAAATACAAAGGAACAACTGGAATGGCTTTTCTCCTAAGCTGCAAGAAGGCCCAATATAAGAATAAGAAAGAGAACACTAGAATAAGAGAATAGCACACACAAAAAAGTCACAATCATATGTATTTACTAAAATAAATCATTTTACAAATGAATATAGTTATTCTTTCCTTTCCCTCCCTTCACATTGAAAGTTTCTGAAAGGCTTAAATAGTACACTTCATGCGTATGCGGCACCAAGCCCAACCCAGTTTTGTTTTTTTTTTTTAAACATATCCAAATCCGCAGTCATTAAGTAACAGACTTCTGTTTTCAGCAATAAAAACTACTCAAAATCTTGAAAGATCAGCAGGTAATTAATTAACAGTCTTTACTCTTTACCTTCCCTCCAATTACATTCCATTTTAAACGCAGAAACGAAGGAGGTTAAATCAGCAAGACTACAAGCAGAAAGACTAAAGGAGGCGAGGTTCAGAAACTGGGGCCTCCGGCCTCCGCAGGAGGCTTCTCCAGCCGGGACCCAGCGCACTTACCATTCTTCGGCAAACTCTGGATCACCTTCACCGCCGCCTCAAACCTGGTTTCGTGCACGGATCTCGGGTCGGCCATCTCCAGCCGCCAGCGCCGGCCCCAGTCCCGGTCCCAAGGTCTGTCGGCTGGAATCAGGCAGCAGCAGCACCAGCTTTCCAGGAGCCTGCATGAAACTGGAACATGGAGCGCAGCCGCGATCAACATGCCCAAAGGGAGGAGGTCCACGCAGCTGGTCACTGCCCCGTTGCCCTGCCCTATCCAGGCCACACAGATCGAGGTGGCCCAGCTCCTTCCTCCTCCCCGGGGCGTGACCTAGGCCGAGGAGCCGGCCCGCAGCGACAGAAAAACAACTCACCGAGAGGAAGAGCATCTCTAGCACAACACGGAGGGGCTCCGGACACCCGTGGTCGCGGAGCCTCTCTCCCACCCGCAGGACCCTGGCGGAGCAGCCACACTCCCCATCCCGGCGGGGTCCGTCGGTCAGTCGGCGCCCTCCCCACAGCCCCGCCCCAGAGCCACTAGAGGACCCACTAGCTGCGGCGCGAGTGCGGCCGCTCAGCCGACTCCACCCACCCGCCCCGCGGACGAGGCGACGGCGCGCGCTGCTGTCGGTCGCCTGGGTAGGGCCAGAGAAGAAGGCCGGGCAGGGAAGTGAGATGGGTCGGGTTCTCGGTTTTTGAACAGGCCGGACCGCTGCGTCTGTGCCAGTGCAGCCGGACAGTGGGAAGCGCGCAGGGGACGCGGGGTTGGATCCTGCACCAGGGCCCAAAGTTACCGCTGGGCAAAAAAAAAAAAAAAAACAAAGAAAAGACCCTGCGATCCACAGCGCCTGTCCTCTTAGGTTAAGGGTTGAGGAATGTGATGGGACATAAGAAAGGGCTTTAGATCCGGATAGGCTCGGTGCGAACCTCATGTTCTGCCATTCGAGTTCTGGCGATCTTTACAGCACCCTGAAGAGTAGATGAAAGAATGTGAGATGCTGGATCAGTGTTGAGCAGTGCTTGGGCCGCGATTCTTCGGCAGCTTTGGCCGCCTTGAGCCAAGAAAGTCCGAGAGTAACCAAAGGCGTGTGGGAAGGTTGCCTGCCCCCAGACTGGGCCGAGGGAGCGAGGGCACCTTCCCCAGCACCACCACTAACGTCTTGCCCTGGGGAGCCGGGCAGAGCCCAGCCTCAGCCCGATTTACTAGGCCGCAGGCCTCGGGGGAGGGAGCATTGAGGACGCAGTACGGACTGTCAACCCTTGAAAGGGGTACCGTGGGCCTTAACCTTTCTAGTATAACGCCCCGCAACCTCAGGCACCCGGAAGAGCCCCCAGGCCCACCTTGGGGGGATTGAAAGGGGTTTTAAGGATGGAGTCCTGCGGCCCGGAAATCCCCGAATTGCCAGGGCCTCTTTGTCAGTTCGGGGTGGGTTAGGAGGGTTATTAGCAGAAATCTAAGCGGAGACTGTAAGCTACTCTTCCCTCTGAGCCGCACTGCCGGCATTTACCTTGGCATTGCGGGGCAAGGCCCGTAGGGTATTGTCCCCGACGCCCGCCCCTCGCCCTGCACCGTGGACTTGTGGGAAATGTAGTCCCCCCGACCCCCTCGGCGGCGCTTCCGGATACCTCCCTTTGCGGCCCGCGTTCTTCCCACTTGTTCCGGTTCGGTTTCTCTGTACCGCAAACGCTGGAGCCGTTGCGGCGGAAATCCCCCTTCCCGCTGCCTAGCCCTCCGGGGCCAATTCACAATGCCACATCCGCTTCCAGCAAGAGGGGCCCTCTGTGATACCTTCAGAGGTATCCTGCTGAGACCTGGTGTGAATCGGGGAACTGGGGTCTAATTTTTTGCTGCTGCTTGCTCACTTACTTTGGGGGCAAGTATCTGAAGGCAGGCGCCGTTTAGATAATTAAAGACTACCGTTTTCCCGAATGCCAGGTATTTGCCAAGAGAATGACACACGTTCCAAAACCGCTATAGGGTGTTTACGAAAGAGGAAATGGAGGCTCACGGTAACTAATTCGCGCAGGGTCCCACAGTTTAGTAAGTAGCAGAGCCAGAAGCAGTCCAAAAAAAGCCTCTTGCTGCGCGCCTGGGTGGCTCAGTCGTTAAGCGTCTGCCTTCGGCTCAGGTCATGATCCCAATTTCCTGGGATCGAGCCCCGCATCAGGCTCCCTGCTCCGCGGGAGGCCTGCTTCTCCCTCTCCCCCTCCCCCTGCTTGTGTTCCCTCTCTCGCTGTGTCTCTCTCTGTCAAATAAATAAATAAAATCTTAAAAAAAAAAAAAAGAAAAAAATACTCTGAAAATTTTTTTAAAAAAATCCTCTTGCTTTAGATCTTGGAGTTCTTCCAGGACGCCAAAGTGTTAACAAACTAACAGTTTTTGTAATTTACTCAAACTAGGAAGAATGTATGTGTTTTATTTATTTATTTTTTTTTAAGATTTTATTTATTTATTTGACAGAGAAAGACACAGTGAGAGAGGGAACACAAGCAGGGGGGAAATGGGAGAGGGAGAAGCAGACTCCCTGCTGAGCAGGGAGCCCGATGCGGGACTCGATCCCGGGACTCCAGGATCATGACCTGAGCCGAAGGCAGTCGCTTAACCAACTGAGCCACCCAGGCGCCCCTGTGTTTTATTTTTTTTAATTTACGTGTTTTAATATCTGCTGCTTCCTCTCTTTGTATTATATTCATTTCAGTTTCGATCTGTTCAGTCATGCATACTTATAAAAGGGCTGGGGTGTTTATTTCTAAGTCTTCATTTTGACAACTCTTCAATAAGTTTATGTAATAAGCAAACGTATAGTATGTTGGTCTTTAGGTACGGATGAATAGGAATTTTCTGTCAGTGGTTTTGTGGAATTTCCATTTGCAGGTAGTGTGGATTTCCAATCAAGGAGAATAGCATAAGGAGAAAGGAAATTGAGATTATTCAGATAAAGGTATTTTAAAAGTAGCTCTCTCATGTAGCTGTGCTGATTTATATGTGGTAATTCCTACTGAAACACAATGATGAATATGATGGATTGACTCAGTTCCTAAGCTGCCTTCCATTTATGTGAACAACCTATAATTCTACCTAAAATATATCTCATGGAACACTAGTTAATATCTTTCAGTACCTTCAGAACAGTGCCTGATATGAAGCATTGTTTTTTGTTTTTTTTTTTTAAGATTTTATTTACTTATTTGACGGAGACAGAGATAGCGAGAGCAGGAACACAAGCAGCGGGAGTGGGAGAGGGAGAGCAGGCTTCCCACCGAGGAGGGAACCTGATGTGGGACTCGATCCCAGGACCCTGAGATGATGACCTGAGCCGAAGGCAGACGCTTAACGACTGAGCCACCCAGGCGCCCTGAAGCATTGTTTTTTTAACTGAGATTTAATTGACATACAACATTATATTCGTTTCAGGTGTACAAAATAATGATTGTTTATTTGTACATACTACTAAATGATCGCCATAATAAGTGAAGCATTCTTTTTTCTTTTAAAGATTTTATTTATTTATTTGACAGAGAGCCCAAGCAGGAGGGAGCGAAAGGCAGAGGGAGAGGGAGAAGCAGGCTACCCACTGAGCAGGGAGCCCGGCCCGCGGAAAGGCAGATAGATGTTTAACTAACCGAGCCACCCAGGCGCTCTAAGTGAAGCATTCCTGCTTGTGTCTTTCTAGAGATATTTTAATTAAGAATGGGCCCACTTCTTACACATGACCATAAAAAAGGTAAAATAGTATCTTTATGTGTTTTAATAAACCTAAAGGAGTAAATTTTAAAATAACCGAAAAATTATTCTTTTTTTTTTTTCTTTTAAATTCGGCAGGTGAGTTGTTACACACTCCTTAGCGGATTCCAAATTATTCTTTTAGATGCTCTTTACAAGCATTTTTAAACTCCTACTATGTCCCATGGGACGTAATTAACACTGAGGTTACAAAGCCCCTCAGGGAACTCAGTCTAGGGTGGTAAGTAGCCATGTAATATAATAATCACAACACAATGCAAAAGTGTTAAAATTGAAGGATATAAAAAGTGCTATATTATGTACACAAAAGCAAGTACATAAATGTTCATAACAGTACTATTTGGTAACAGCCCAAATTTGGAAACAACCCAGTGACCATGAACAGTAGAATAGATACTACTGAAGAGCAGTGAGAACAAATGAACCACACCTATTCAACATCTATGTATCTCATAGACTTAATGTTGAGGGAAAAGAATCTAAATTCAAAAGAGAACATAATGTGTGATGCCATTTATATAAATTTCAAAAACAGGCAAAAGCAACATTTTTAAATTCAGGCTGGAGATGCAGTGTCTGGAAAAGGTTGAGGGAAACTTGGGGTTCTAGTAACATACTATTTCTTGAATTAGATGCTTATTACATGAGTATGTTCAATTTGTGACACTATTGAAATGTATAATTAAGATTTATTTGAAGCCTAAAAAAACAAGTGAATAAATAAAAAGCAGAATCAGACCTATAAATACAAAGAACAAACTGATGGTTGCCAGAAGAGGAGTGGTGGATTGGGCACAATGGGTGAAGGAGAGACAAAAATACAGGTTTCCAGCTATGGGATGAATAAGGCATGGGAGTAAAAGGCACAGCATAAGGAATATAGTCAGTGATACTGTAATAGTGATATAATTGGACAGATGGTAGCTACACTTGTGGTGAACATAGCATAATGTATAAATTTGTCAAATCGCTAAGTTGTACACCTGAAACTAATGAAACATTGTGTGTCAGCAATACTCAAAGAAAAAAAAGGGGGGCTCAGTCGGTAAGGTGTCTGCCTTTGGCTCAGATTATGAGCCTGTGTCAGGCTCCCTGTTCAGTGGGGAGTCTGCTTCTCCCTCTCACTCTGCCCCTATCCCCTGCTTGTGTGTGTACTCTCTCTCTCAGTCAAATGAATAAATCTTTAAAAAAAATTTTTTAAGGGCGCCTGGGTGGCTCAGTTGGTTAAGTGACTGCCTTCGGCTCAGGTCATGATCCTGGAGTCCCGGGATCGAGTCCCACATCGGGCTCCCTGCTTGGCAGGAAGTCTGCTTCTCCCTCTGACCCTCTCATGCTCTCTCTGTCTTGTTCTCTCTCTCAGATAAATAAATAAAGTCTTTAAAAAAAATTTTTTTTTAAGAAAAAGGGCATCTGTGTGGCTCAGTCGGTTAAGCTTCTGCTTTCGGCTCAGGTCATGATCCTGGAGTCCCGGGATCGAGCCCCACATCGGGCTCCCTGCTCGGCGGGGAGTCTGCTTCTCCCTCTGACCTTCCCCCCTCTCATACTCTCTCTCTCTCTCAAATAAATAAAACCTTCAAGAAAAAAAAGAGAAAATCTCTTCTTTAACTCTCTTAAAAAAAGATTTATTTTTCTTTGTGTATGTTATACTTCATTTAAAATTGACATTTAAAAAATTGTACATGTAGGGGCACCTGACTGTCTCAGTTGGTAGAACATGTGACTCTTGATCTCAGGGTTGTAAATTCAAGCCCCATGCTGGATGTAGAGATTACTTAAAAATAAAATCTTTTAATGAGC